GGAGACAACAGCGAGCTAGACTGGCTACGGAAGAGCGCATAGACGGCCACGTGAGCAGTGATTCTGAGGAGGAGTACGAGATGGAAGACTACAATCAACACCAGGGGAATCCTCAGCAGGCTCCCCCGGTGAATCAGGTCCTGGGGAACAACCCCATACCCCAGGACCATGGAGTTCATCATCCCCCGCAGCCGGGCCCCACCTTGGAGTACTACTACACTCCGCGGATTGCTGACATCCGCCCGGTCATCCTCTACCCGCCTATTCCAGCAAACAATTTCGAGATCAAGCCATGCTGGATTCAGCTCATTACATCATCTATCCAGTTCCATGGCTTGAAGAATGAGGAGGCCAGGGTGCATCTTTCCCGTTTTCTGCAGCTGACGAACGGGTTCAAGCTGAATGGTGTCCCCGATGATGCGATCCGCCTTCATCTCTTCCCCCATTCTCTGGCGGGGAATGCTAAGAGGTGGTTGGAGACCCAGCCCCCATTGTCCATCACCTCTTGGGACGATCTGGCGGACAAGTTCGTGCACAGGTATTATCCGGCATCGAAGACTACAGAGATTCAGCGGGAGATCACTCACTTCCGCCAGGAGCCAGATGAGTCACTTCGTGATGCTTGGGAGCGGTACATGGGCTATTTCTGGCAGTGCCCCCATCATGGCTTCAGTGATGCATTCACAGTGGGGAACTTCTACAGTGCCCTTTCGCCAGATAGCCAGAGGGTGATTGAGTCTCTATGCCCAGGAGGGGATATTCTTACCAAGACTCCACCCGAGCTGAACCAGATGATCAGTACTTTGGCTGCCAGAGATCATTCTTGGGGACAGGGTAGCCGAGGCAGACAGTCCCAGGACCGTGGTGTGCACGCCATGGAGACCAGATCCGGGCTCGAGCAGCAGGTAGCTGAGCTAGTGCAGACATTGAAGCACCCCAACAGTCTGATTCCGGGCAGAGGTTTGGCTACACCTCCAGTAACTCAATGTCAGTGGTGTGAGAGCTCCAATCACCTAGTGGAGGACTGCTAGGCTATGAGGGAGTCTACCATACCCCAGGAGCAGTTGGCCTTCATCGCCAATGCGAGGCGCCTCGATCCATACAGCAGCACATATAATGAGGGGTGGCGCCAGCATCCCAACTTCGCCTGGAGCAGCAACACCACTAAACCACCTGGTTTCCCAGCACCAGCAGGTGGTTTTCAGCAGAGGCAGCCCTTCCAGGCTCGCCAGGGGCCAGACCCACAGCAGCCCTACCAGCCCAGGCAGGGGCAGCCATTCCAGCAGCCCCAGCGCTAGTTTGCCGAGCCAGCAGCAGCTCCAGCCCCAGATGACAGGATGACGAAGCTGGAAAACATTCTAGCTTCATTCATGACGAGCACTCAGGCGACTATCACGAGGTTGGACCAGAGTGTAGCCTCACTGGAGGCAGGTCAGAGGAACCAGGGTGCCATTTTGCAGGATTTGCAGACCCAGGTGGGCATCTTGGCCCGCCAGAACACCACCAGGGCACCGGGGACTTTGCCTGCCACCACTGTCCCGAATCCTCGAGATCCTCATCAGCATCAGCAGCTGGATGCCATTTTTACCAAGAGCGGTAAGACCATATCTGCTGATCCTGTCCCGGCCAGACAGGAGGAACCACTGACTGCTTCAGCACTTCCAGCCGACGATGCAGAAGTGCGGGTGGAGAAGGAAGCCCCTGCTCCCAAGCCACAACCAGTGGTTAAGGAGCATGTACCCCAGCTTCCCTTCCCCACTCGCCTACACAAAGACAAGCTGGAGACTGAGTTTGCCAAGTTCATGGCAATGTTGAAGCAGCTCAACATCAGCATACCGTTCATGGAGGCACTGTCGAAGATGCCCAAGTATGCCAAGTTCATGAAAGATATCTGCACCAACAAGAAGAAACTTGGGGATCTTTCGACAGTAATGCTCAGTGAGGAGTGTTCTGCTATCCTGCAGAACAAGCTGCCCGAGAAGCGCAAGGATCCAGGGAGTTTTACTATCCCTCTTACTATTGGTAGCATGCATGTAGGAAAGTCCTTGGCGGACCTAGGCGCTAGCATTAACGTCATGCCATATAAGTTATATAAAATGCTAGACCTAGGTGAACTTAGCCCTACTAGGATGAGCATTCAATTAGCTGATCGTTCTATTGTGCATCCTAGGGGAATCATAGAGGATCTGCTTGTTGGTGTTGGTGCATTCACATATCCTGTTGATTTTGTTATTCTTGATATACATGAGGATGTGGATGTGCCTTTGATTCTAGGTAGGCCATTTCTTGCCACCGCCAAGGCACTAATTAATGTGCATGATGGTAAGTTGATCTTGCGTGCTGGGGATGAACAGGCTACTTTTTATGTGACTGAGTTTGATCACTGTGCTATGATTGCTGTCACGCCTGTGCATGCTATGTCTGATCAGGTACACGAGTCTGTCGTGTACCCTTCTGCACCTCCTATTTTGCAGGACCCTCCTATCATTCCTTCGCCGCCACTCCATCCAGCCTCGCCTCCGAACAAAAAGCTCAAGGAGGAGTGGCGGCCGAAGCAGCAGGTTGCTAAGCCTGCACGGAAGAAGAGTGGAGACCACTATGAGCTGGTCCCACCTCCTGCACCACGACCACCCTGGCCGTCTGGGTACTCGCTCTCCTGCATCTTGCCAGATGGGCAGGTCGAGCTGACTGATGAGGGTGGTCGCATCCGTCGGGTGCATGGCCACAACCTGAAGCTGTACCTCAAGAGCGACGTGGATCCGCTCTTGGAGGCACCTGTTCCTGCACCGCCCTGAGTATCCACCATGGGCGTCCAGCTAAAAGACGGTAAAGAAGCGCTTGTGGGGAGGCAACCCCACCACGGTTTGATTTTCTTTCTTGTGTTTTGAGTCGGATTGTAACCCGGTTTGGGTTTGGTTTGTTTTCTTTTGGTTTGGATGATATTTTATTGGGCTGACCATTGAACCTAACATATTGTGGTTGAGCTCTTCTGTTTCCCTTTGGCTGTGCTTACTCCGGCTGGTCCGCTTCCAGTCCCCTGCAGTCCGTGCATACCGGTAACATCGTTCCCCTTTTCCTTCCCTCTTCTCCATTGAGGGCAATGTCGATCTTAAGTGTGGGGGGATGTTTATCTTTTGAATGCATTAGATCTGTTTGTGTGCTTGGAGCCTAGTCCACTGTCCAAATTTTTAAATTTGAGGGCTCCAAGTACGTGTTTCCATGCAATTGCCTGCTCAGTATGCTTTGAATTGACAGTCTTTATAGTAATATGCAACCTAGGGAGGTAGTGTAGCACTATGGAGGATGTTGATGCATTTAAGAAGTCTCATTTCTTCTTCATATTGAGTTGGTTGATTGAGTGAATTAGTGATCTTAGGACCCTTGAATCGTGTGGTGTTGTGGATTCTCTACCTGTCATGGACTCTTGTATCATGTTTTGAGTTTAACAGGTGCTCGAAAATGTGCTTCAAATAACGTCTCCCGTGCGAATAGGGCGAAAGTGTGTAAGGGGAGACGGGAATCCGTTCCCAATTTCCACCTACTACCTCCAGCCCCCTTACATGTCTTTCCCCCGCACGAGGCTCGAGACATCCGCTCCTGGCATGGCCGGTAAGAGCAGGTTGGGACCCTTGAAAAGAAAAGAAAAGAAAAATAACAGAAAACAAGCAAAATAGAAAAAAAGGGGGTTCCAACCATCTTCAAGAATAAAATAGAGCACCTTGAAAAATGTGAGTCCATGATCTGTTGTTTTTGAGAATCTCTTCATCCACGATTCATTTGTCCTCTGTTCACTGTTTGCCATGATGCCGACTCGCCGAAGAAGCTATGAGATGACTTGTGCGTCGGTTCACCTCGTAAGTTGCTAAATGACCTAGGAAGTCCTCTATCTACGATCTGGATTGTCTGTTGCTATAGAGGTCTGGAGAGTTGCATTGGTTTGAGTTAGGTTTGCTTGGGGACAAGCAAACGGTTAAGTGTGGGGGAGTTTGATAGACCGTTAGTTACACATGTTTTCACCCCTGTTCTTACACCGTTGGAGATGTGGTTTCTCGTGTTTTAGACCGATTTCACGCTTTGTGATATTTCAGGTCCTGGCAAGTGAATGAAGGTTTAGGAGCGAGTTCGGGGTCGATTGGGTGAAGATCGGGCGCGAGACAAGTTACAATGGAGGTCACACGGGCTGCCCTGATGTTCGCACGGCCGTGTGAAGTAATGGCCTGGCCGTGCGAGTTTTGCCGAGAGCACACAAGGGCAGAGCAGAGGATCGACACGGCCGTGCAAGTGGCCGGGTTGGCCGTGCCACATTCTGCGAGAGCAAACACGGGCAAGAGGGGATGTCCACACGGCCGTGCCATTCTGGCCGTGCAAAGAGCCTGGAATTCGAACTAAATGAAACGATGCGTTTTGACTCACACGGGCAACTGGGTGAGCTGCACGGCCGTGCCACCCTGGCCGTGTGAGTCGGGATTTTCTCCTTTTAAGCAGAATTTCAGCCACAATTCGGGGGGATTCAAGTTTTTGAGAGAAAGAACGACTTCTAGAGAGAGAAAGTGACGAGCAAGAGTTCCCAAGTGCCCTAGATTGATCTTCAACACCATTGGAGGCCAGCTTGAGCTTGGAGAAGTGCCAATCAACGTCCAGAAGCAGGAATCCATCCTTCGCAGTATGAATTCCGTGTCTGATTCTGCTTTTGCTTTCTTCTCCATGGAGTAGTTCTCCCATTCATCTGGGTATGGAGAACCCTAGATTTGTATGTTAGGCTTTGATTGTATGAACCCAAGTACTGATTCTATGATTGATTATATTCGATTGAGGTTTTAATGATTGAATGACTTGAATCCTGATCAAATTCCTGTTGTTTCTGCTTTGACCTAGAATGAGAATATCTGCCTAGGTTGATAGAGCATCCTTGATTGAAGGTAGGGAGTTGGTGACTTTAGTCGAGGAGCCAACTCACTATTCTGCACCGGATTTACTTCGGTAGTGGAGGTTTTGTTTTTAGGGCCTCAATCTGTTTACTCCGGTGGAGGTTAGTCGCCCGCTAGAGAATCAGATTGAGAGGGTCTGAAGACCTTTAGTCGAGACTTCAGGCTGTTTAAGAACCTTCCGCAGTATAACTATCATAGAAACTGAACTTGGTAATTACAATCCGGCTTAACTGCAGTCTAGGGGGAACCATATCCGGGTGACCTCTTTAACCTGAATACAACAGTTTACTTGCTTTGTTAGTTTGATAGTTTAGACTTGCATGCCAGTTTCATTGTTAGATAACAAGAATTCACTGAGTAGTCATCACATCTAGGACCCGGGTTGATAATTAAACCCAAACCCGCTATACTACGCTTTAGGAAGTGGTTTCACTTGGCCAATTCCTGGAGTGACAATAGAGTCGAGTCAATTGCCATTGTTAGGCGGAGCCTGATTCAATGGATGAACCTGGAGAGGCATCCCTAGATGAGGCTGCCCCAAGTTCAGGTTGTTCATCTTATTATGTTTGTCTCCCATTTTGTCCTCCTGCTCGGAGTCGCTGCTTATCCGGCCGTCGACTTGCTCTTCCTCCGTAGCTAGTCTCACTTGCAGTGCTTTCTTAGACTGACGACAAGTTCGTTCAAGTTCCCGATCCAACGGCAGCAATCCTCCCGACTGGCTACGAGTCATGCACTATCTGCATACAAGCTGTAGGCAAACCCGTGAAGGCAAACGGGGAAAGAAGTAAAAGAAAACAATGCAGAAGGAAATGCTAAAGTAACAGAAATCACGTTTCTTCAACAACATAGTCGTCCCTGGCAACGGCGCCAAAAACTTGACTCACCAATACCGTCAAACTAGAAAGTGGCCAAGTGTAACCACAAACTAATGCGTAGTATAGCGTGTTTAGCTTTATGTGTCAACCCGGATCCTAGATGTGATGACTACTCCGTGAATTTCTCGTTATTCAACAGTTTGAATGTAGTGAAGTTGTATCTAAGCCAAACAAACACATAGTAGTAAAGTTGTGGTTCAAGTTCGAGAGAGGTCACCCAGTTTTGGTTCCCCCTAGATTGCAGTTAAGCGGAATTATAATTCACCAAGTTCATGTATAATGATAGTTATATTGCGGAAGGTTCTTATTAAGTTTGAATTCTCGACTACAGGTCTTCAGACCCTCACAGTCTAAATACCCGACGGGCGGCTAACCTCCACCATAATAAACGAACCGAGTCCCTAACATGCAAAACCTCCTCTACCGGATCAAATCTAGTACATAGCAGTGAACTGACTTCTTGAACTAAAGTAGTCAATTCAACACCTTCAATCAAGGGTACTTTATCAACCTATGCATATATTCTCTTTATATGTCAAAGCAGAAACTGCAAGAATGTGATCAGGACTCATGCAATTTTGAAACCACGGCTCAATTGAATATAATCAGCATCAAAATATCATGTACTTGGGTTCATACAATCAAGCCTAACATACAACTCTACGGTTCTTCATACCTAGGTGAGAGAGGGAGTTTACTCTAAAGAGAAAAGGAAAACAGCTTCAGTTGCAGAAATCATCATGTAGTGGATGGAATTCAGCTTCTGGTTGTCAATCAGTGCTTCTCCAGGCTTCAATCAAGCTCCAATAGTGTCAAAAGTCAAAGTAGATCACCTTGGAAGATGGGTTTGTCACTTTCTCTCTTTAACTCTCTGTTTTCTGCTCTAAAACTTGGATCCCTTCTCCACAAACCCGAAATTGTGTTAAAACCCAGATTTTCCCTATAACACGGCCATCGCAACGCCGTGTAGAATCCCGTGTATGTCCGTGTAACTCCCAAAACGCAGCGTTCGGATTAGTTACCCGTGGTCGACACACAACCAGGATGTACGGCCGTTTGGAATGCATCCTTGCCCGTATAACTATCCTGAAAAACCCGCACGACCAAAGGGTGCCCTTACACGGCTAGTACGACCTTGGTCGCGTAGTCCCAGACGTCAACCAGACCACAATGCCGCGTAAAATTATCAGCAGGCCGCGTATCGTTCTCAGCTTTCCGTCAAACGTCCTAACTTCGTGCAATCGACCTCAAACTCGTGCTCAAACCTTGATTCACGTACTAGGACTTGAAATGTCACTAACAAGAACAGCCTAGTATGAAATCGGTTTAAAACACGAGAAATGAGCCTCACACAGTATATTGATAGACGTTAATTGCACATGTTTTTACCCCTATTCTTGAGCCGTTTGAGATGTTGATTCTCGTGTTTTAGGCTGATTTCACGCTAGGTTGTTCTTGTTTGTGATATTTCAGGTCCTAGTACGTGAATGAAGGTTTAGGAACAAGTTTGGGGTCGATTGGACGAAGTTTCGACGTTTGGCGAGAAGCGGAGAAGCCACACGGGCATGCCTAAAAGCCACACGGCCGTGTAAGGGAACCCACGTGGCCGTGTGGAAATTCCAGGGATCTCACACGGGCAGCCTGGAAATCCACACGATCGTGTGGTTGTGGCCGTGTAGGATGGCTGAAGGCACTTAATCGAAACGCCGCGTTTTGGAACTCACACGGGCAGCTGGGCAAGCCACACGGCCGTGTGGCCTGCCCGTGTGGTCGAGATTTTCTGGGTTTTAACCCAATTTCGAGCCAAAAGATAGGGGATCGACTTTTTAGAGCAAAAACAGAGCCCTAGAGAGAGAAAGTGCGAAGAACACATCCTAGAAGTGATTTTGGAGCTGGGTTTAATCAATCGAGCTTGGAGATCATCATAGGAGTAAAGATCATCATCCCAGTGCAGATTCTTCCCATTGTTATGAGTATGACTGCTTTGTATTTTGTTTTCCTCTCTCTCTATGGAGTAGAACCCTCTTTCACTTGGGTATGAAGAACCCTAGTTCCATGTGTTATGGATCATGATTGTAATGACTTGGGATTGCTATACTGTTTGGTTTTAATCGAATGATGCATGATTCATTGAATTGATTGAAGTCTGATCAGCTTTTCTTGATTTCTGCTGCAACATGAGATATATAGAATCTGATTAGGTTGTTAGAGCTTCATCATTCGGTAGTAGTAGATTGGTTATATGAGAGTTAGTCAATCTACTGCTTTGTACTGGAATCCAATTCTAGTAGTGGAGTTCTGTGCTTATTGCTTCAGCTTTCTATCCCGGTGAAGACTAGTCGTCTGCCGGGTAGTTAGACTGAGAGGGCTTGGTCAGCGTAAGAGATTCCAAGCTACTGTCGGATCTTCCGCAGTTTAATCAACAGTAAATCAACCCAGGGTAATCATAACTATAGGTGTCAAAACATAGCCCGACCCGATTAACCCGCCCGATCAACCCGACCCGCAACCCGAATTGACTAAAAGTCAACAACCCATAATCCGCCCGACCCGCAACCCGATTGACCCGCAACCCGACTAACCCGCAACCCGACTAACCCGCAACCCAATTAACCCGAACCCGATTGACCCGCAACCCGACTGACCCACAACCCGATTAACCCGAACCCGACTAACCCGTAACCCGACCGACTCAACCCGAACCTCACTTAGTCCACTTAAATTATTATTATAATATACAATACATAGTTTTTCAAAATACAGTTTTTCATTCTAAACTTAGGTAAAATTATTTTTTCATTTCGTATAGGGAATTTAAAAAATATGAAACTCACTTGATCTTATGTATTTTAAGAAAATTACAAAAATTGAAACATGAAGGTCACTTGAACACTAAGTTCTTTAAAAAAAATATAAAATTAAATATAAAATCAACATAATGTCAATATTAATAATGAAGAATTAATAATTGAGATCATGGACAATATTAATATAATCAATATTGATATAATATATAAATTAAAATTTTGGTTAATTCAACTATTCAATAAAATTATCAATTAAATATAAATAAAATAAAGTAATGTATTTGGTAATTTGATGTTTTTAAAAGAAGAGGAAAATTTTGGTGTATTCAACTTTTTGGGAAGAGAAAGAAGAGGGAAATTTGGTTATTTGAATTTTTTAGAAAAGAAACAAGTGGAAATTTTGGTGGTTTTGATTTGTGGGAATAGAAAGAAGTGGGAAAGTTTGGTTCTTTTGATTATGAAAGAGAAATAAGAAAAGAAGAGGGAAATCTGGTTCTTTCAATTTTATGGAAGAGAAAGAGGAGGGAAATTGAGTGTTTCTCATTTATGGAAAGAGAAAGAAGGAGGGAAATTTTAGTTTTTTTTTTTGGTGAAATGAAAGAATGAAACAAATTTGGTGTTTTCAACTTTTTTGTTTTTCAAAATTTTAGCCTTTGAAATATGAATCTTTAATTTTTATATGGAGGGTATGACTAGTTAAATTTATTCTTATATGCTTTGAAGGCTAATATATATATATATGGTTCAGGCTAGCGTACGTCAGTCATACATTGTACGTCCGTCGAGTTTTACTATTTAGAGCAGGAATTAACCAAAATTTTGGGCATGATACTATACCCTAACCTCTAATAGATAAACCCCAGTCCCTAATTCTCTAACCCAAGCCACAAGATTTATTTAATCTAAAAAATAATAACCGACGGTTCTGATTTAGCAAAATATATTGAAGTGCAAAAACCAAGTGTGAACACAGGCGTACAGCGTACGACTGACGTACGCTAGCCTTTGCCATATATATATATATGTAATTGTTTATGGGCTAATAAATAAATTAACCATTAGTTACAACAATTATACTAAACTTGATAAGTAATCTTTGACGGTTCGTTGTTTAGGGTATAAAGTATATTGGTTAGGGTAAATGGTATAAGGTACAGATGGTTTAGAGAGTATATGGTTAGGGTATAAGATATTGATGGTTTTGACGGTTCTAAGTTTTTTTATTAACATATGTTCACTTGAAGTCATTGATGTCTTTAACGGCAGGAGATCCCTTTTTAATTTATGTTTGTGGTACGTGGTTAGGGTACAAGGTATATGATGTAGAGTATAAGATATATGGTTAGGGTATAGCAATTATCAAATATCACTTTTTATCTATGTTTTGAAAATCAAAGTATGAATTTCAGTTTTAAATTAACTATACTAGCAAAATCACAACTCATAAGGACATATGGTTAGGGTATAGGGTATGTCGTTAGTGTATAATGTATTGATGGTTTAGGGTATACAATCAACAACATATACTAACTTAATATTGTCGATTGAGGGTAAGGCTAAGTGTATAGGATATATGTTATTGAGTAAGTTATGATTGAAGTCCCAATAATTTTACTAGATTTGATAGTTAATCTTTAATGGTTCAATTTTCAGGATAATTCGAACAATTTTACAAATAACTCGTTTCGCAACAGTTTACTGAAGTTATTTGGGCAATAAGTTATTTCGAAATAACTCATTTTATCACTCTGCTTTTGCCTAATACCACACGCCAAATACCACATTTGCATGGTTATACTAAATGAGATACTTTAATCCAATTACACTACTGAAATAATACTAAAATATCAAATAAATAATTAATGGTATCTTTTGGTTGTAAATATTGATATCACCATTACTATTATCTAGTGTACTTTACCAATTACGATTAATTACATAACAAGTTTGCAAGTCATACAAATTGATTTAACATTTTGACTCGTTTTTTTCAAAAAATTAAGTATATATATACGAGATAGAAATAAATTGGTTAAAATAAATAAATTGTTTTCAAATAAAGTTTTTCATTCCCAACCTAAGTAAAATCATTCACATTTAGTTAAGAAAGCTCAAAATCTGAAATTCACTTAAAATTATGGTTTTTAATTACAAAAGTTATGACATGAATTTCTTTAACCAAATTACAAAAAAAAAAGTAAATATAAAATCAGCACAATACTAATATTTATAATAAATAATAACTAAGACCTTTTGTCTATAATAATAAACTTTATTATTGAAGAAGATGACAGGGTAAGAACTAAGAAGTAATTTTGGGCGGGTGTGATGAAATTTTGATTTTGGGTGGGTGTGATGAAATTTTGGGCGCCCAATTTTTTGCAAGCAGAGGGAAGGGTTTTGTGTTTTTGGTGTAATTGTAGTGGGCGGGTGATG